GTATCGTTAAAATGCAACAAAAGTATCGGTATCGTTAAAATGCAACAAAAGTATCGGTATCGTTTAAATGCAACAAAAGTATCGGTATCGTTAAAATTAGAGCCCGACCGATATATCGGCGGGCCGATATTATCGGCCGATTTTAGGCATTTTCCTAACTATCGGTATCGGCATTTATAATGGCCGATAAATTAATATTTTAAAAAATGCGGGTGCGGTGATTCATGTAAGGGTGGCGCTGCCAATAAAGCACCTAAAAGCTGTCACAAGAACTGGTAAAAGTAATGATTATGAATACAACAAATATAACAAGGAGACATTTTAATTGTTTATTAATAAACAAGTGTTTTCAGTCAGTGTCAGCCAAATATGAAGTTGACGATGCTGACTCGCGATCTTCAGTGAACGCGTGCCAGAGAGAAATGCACCAAAGTCCTTCTCTGAATGCACATTTCATAGGATTACATGAGTCTGTCTGTCTTTCGTTTTGAATTGTTCTGTTTAAAAGTAGACATTTCAATATAGATATATTTCAATTCTCAGGTCTATACGCTGAGTTTCGGTTCATGAGACGAGCTCCAGTTCACCCGCAGGCGCCTCCGTGTCGAGATTATCTATCGTCTGCTATTTTACGTCTTATAAATTAAATCCAGGCAAATGGTTGATGAAACATTGATTAAAATTAAGATACAATTAATACAAAACGAAATTCACTTTGAAACGAAAGGTTTTGTGCTTTCTGTTTGATGTCTATGTGAAAGTTTCAAAGCATATTTTAGTGCCGCTTTCAGAGCGCTCACGTCCGTAGTGCTGAACTGTCGCGTCTGTAACATTGTTTTTTCCTCATAAATGCGAACACGAAAAATAAAATGAATATTTTATGTAGCCTGTGGAGACTGAGAGCCAACCCTTCTTCGTCCGGTGGGTAGTAGCCTACTTGTGATTTGCGCAGTGTAATTCACAGAATTGATTTCTCTGCTACAAGCCTCTGTCACGTATTGTGTGAGCTTATGACTATTGCAAGCGCGCAGCTGAGAAGTCCTGATTATATTGTCTGCTATATTTAGGCCTACTTCTTATTTATTAAGGCAATTGGTTGATGAAACATTGATTAAATGCGTGGCGCGAGCGATCTCCGACAGTAAACTGATTCTGCTTTAGGGTAAACAGCTGTTGCGACGCGAGCAATAACGGCCGCGTCCGGTGTAGACACCGTGTTAAAGCTCATTCTGCCTGATAACGCTACGTTACAACATCAAGCAATATTCCAAAAATGTATATAATTATAACACTTTATATAGGGCCATTTTGCATTAAGAGTAGCCTAGGTTCACGTTTAGTACATTTTCCTTACTAATTATTTAAAATAGTATAAAAGTACTGTACATATGTAATTAAAAACGTTTTCATTATGATATTAAGTTCTTCCTCCACTGGTAGAGATTAGAGGAATTAAGAGTAAAAATAGAAGATAATAAGGTTTTGTCAGTGACACTTTTTATATATTTATTGATACAAGTTATGACTAAATTAAAAGACAAAGTCATTAGTGAAGATTATGCAACAGTATTTAGAATATAATATAACATGCAATGCAAACTAGTTTGGTTACAGCGCAGCTGTATAATTCTCATTCTATCATTCCCCCTGCCTCCATTACATATCTGTGTCACACAAGTGTTTGATTACCACATTTGAGTGATCATTGCAAAATGTGTTTATAAAATATATTTATTCTGTTTATAGCTACTGTGTAAAGTACCCATCAAAAGTTTGTACACACCAATAGGAAAGTGTCCAAACTTTTGACTGGTATACTCTACTATAATACACATAAATAATATTGCTACTGTTTTATAATATACACATAAATAACATCGGCCGATATATCGGTATCGGGCTTTTTTTACTCCCTAATATCGGTATCGGCCCCCAAAAATCCATATCGGTCGGGCTCTAGTTAAAATGCAACAAAAGTATCTGTATCGTTAAAATGCAACAAAAGTATCGGTATCGTTAAAATGCAACAAAAGTATCGGTATCGTTAAAATGCAACAAAAGTATCGGTATCGTTAAAATGCACCAAAAGTATCGGTATCGTTAAAATGCAACAAAAGTATCGGTATCGTTAAAATGCAACAAAAGTATCGGTATCGTTAAAATGCAACAAAAGTATCGGTATTGTTAAAATGCAACAAAGGTATCTGTATCGTTAAAATGCAACAAAAGTATCGATATCGTTTAAATGCAACAAAAGTATCTGTATCGTTAAAATGCAACAAAAGTATCTGTATCGTTAAAATGCAACAAAGGTATCTGTATCGTTAAAATGCAACAAAAGTATCGATATCGTTTAAATGCAACAAAAGTATCTGTATCGTTAAAATGCAACAAAAGTATCTGTATCGTTAAAATGCAACAAAGGTATCTGTATCGTTAAAATGCAACAAAAGTATCTGTATCGTTAAAATGCAACAAAAGTATTGATATCGTTAAAATGCAACAAAAGTATTGATATCGTTAAAATGCAACAAAAGTATCTGTATCGTTAAAATGCAACAAAAGTATCTGTATCGTTAAAATGCAACAAAGGTATCTGTATCGTTAAAATGCAACAAAAGTATCTGTATCGTTAAAATGCAACAAAAGTATTGATATCGTTAAAATGCAACAAAAGTATCTGTATCGTTAAAATGCAACAAAAGTATTGATATCGTTAAAATGCAACAAAGGTATCTGTATCGTTAAAATGCAACAAAGGTATCTGTATCGTTAAAATGAAACAAAGGTATCTGTATCGTTAAAATGCAACAAAAGTATCTGTATCGTTAAAATGCAACAAAAGTATTGATATCGTTAAAATGCAACAAAAGTATCTGTATCGTTAAAATGCAACAAAAGTATTGATATCGTTAAAATGCAACAAAAGTATCTGTATCGTTAAAATGCAACAAAAGTATTGATATCGTTAAAATGCAACAAAGGTATCTGTATCGTTAAAATGCAACAAAGGTATCTGTATCGTTAAAATGCAACAAAAGTATTGATATCGTTAAAATGCAACAAAAGTATTGATATCGTTAAAATGCAACAAAAGTATCTGTATCGTTAAAATGCAACAAAAGTATTGATATCGTTAAAATGCAACAAAAGTATTGATATCGTTAAAATGCAACAAAAGTATCTGTATCGTTAAAATGCAACAAAAGTATCTGTATCGTTAAAATGCAACAAAGGTATCTGTATCGTTAAAATGCAACAAAAGTATCTGTATCGTTAAAATGCAACAAAGGTATCTGTATCGTTAAAATGCAACAAAAGTATCTGTATCGTTAAAATGCAACAAAGGTATCTGTATCGTTAAAATGAAACAAAGGTATCTGTATCGTTAAAATGCAACAAAAGTATCTGTATCGTTAAAATGCAACAAAAGTATTGATATCGTTAAAATGCAACAAAAGTATCTGTATCGTTAAAATGCAACAAAAGTATTGATATCGTTAAAATGCAACAAAAGTATCTGTATCGTTAAAATGCAACAAAAGTATTGATATTGTTAAAATGCAACAAAGGTATCTGTATCGTTAAAATGCAACAAAGGTATCTGTATCGTTAAAATGCAACAAAAGTATTGATATCGTTAAAATGCAACAAAAGTATTGATATCGTTAAAATGCAACAAAAGTATCTGTATCGTTAAAATGCAACAAAAGTATTGATATCGTTAAAATGCAACAAAAGTATTGATATCGTTAAAATGCAACAAAAGTATCTGTATCGTTAAAATGCAACAAAAGTATCTGTATCGTTAAAATGCAACAAAGGTATCTGTATCGTTAAAATGCAACAAAAGTATCTGTATCCTTAAAATGCAACAAAAGTATTGATATCGTTAAAATGCAACAAAAGTATCTGTATCGTTAAAATGCAACAAAAGTATTGATATCGTTAAAATGCAACAAAGGTATCTGTATCGTTAAAATGCAACAAAGGTATCTGTATCGTTAAAATGCAACAAAAGTATTGATATCGTTTAAATGCAACAAAAGTATTGATATCGTTTAAATGCAACAAAAGTATTGATATCATTAAAATGCAACAAAACTAGCAGTGTAATGATGCCCTCATGTCACGATTCGATACATATCCCGATACTGAACTCACGACACCATATTACTGCGAGACTCCAAGACATATGATAAAAGGTGAACAGAAAATGCACTGTTGATTAAAATGCTAAATGTGATATGACATTGTGTGTGTGAATGAACAGGCTTGGACTTGGTGCTGAAACCCAAAGCACAGGACAATAGAGACACCAGAATAACAATATTCATGATTCTGAAGCTGAAAACACTGAATTGTTGTAGATGAATATGCTTGCACTCTTTCACTAACTAGATATATTTAAAATAATGTCAGCCACTTTTAACTGGTGACATCAGACATCTAGAATTATCAGGACACACACATATTCCCCCACTGCATTATTATACATTATATTCAACATTATATAGTAGTTTAATGTAGTACTGACACTAAAACTCTGAAAACTTGAATTTTTTACTCCCACAGTAATTTTATTTTGGGTGAACTACACACAATACATATTGTCACTATCCACGATACATGTTGTTGCATTTTGTATTGCGATATATTGTGATACAATATATTGTTGCACCCCTAAACAAAAACTATCTGTATTCAAATGCAACAAAATTATCAGTATCATTAAAATACATCAAAAGTATCTGTATCGTTAAAATACAAAAGTATCTATATCGTTCAAATTCAACAAAACTATCAGTATTAAAATTTAAACAAAAAGTATCAGTATTGTATCTAATAAAGTTTGTTGTCGCCCATCCCTCAGCTGCAGAGTGGGCGTGGCTGGAACTCCCAAATCGGAGCAGAAATGAGTGACGTGTGCTCTTAATTGCTGCGGAATCGGAGCAGTTGATAGATATTAATAAATATAAATCATATTGAGAGCTGCTGACCTCAGTGCGCCTGTAGAGAGTCGCTTCCCCGAAGGCGCCCTTTCCCAGCACTCGAATGGGGATGTAATGCAGTTTCTCCTCTTCTCCAGCGAAAGCTCCAGATGTTGTCGATCGTCCATTGACTGATTCACATCCAGTCTCTGAGTTTAAAGAGGCGTAATGCCTCTCATAATCCTCCAGAGACATCTTACACACACACACTCACAGTAACGCGTGTTTAATCTGGGCCTGCTTCAGTTCACCTCACAGATCCACTCAAATCACACACATCTGCACTGCAAAACTCGCGCGTAAACACACACACTCTTCGTCTTTAAGTTACATTAGATTAAACTACTTTCCTCGTGCCCCGTTTCTTCTTTCCCTAACTGAACTGCACAAGACAAAGTTGCTGTTGGGAGTCATTTCCGATAGGGAATCGATTCATTTGTTTGTTTTGAACAATCACGTGTATATATATAAAGCGAATCGAATGAATCTTTGAGAGTCGACACAGAATAAACAACAAGCAATGCAGGAACCGGAAGTGACTCGAATTCACGCTACTCACGGACTTTTATTTCAAAATAGAGCGCCAGCATAAAATCAATAGATTTTTTTAGTATAACAAATGTTGTAAATATTAAGTGAAATATTTCGATAAATAATAATACAATAATTTAATTAATTACGTTAAAAAGTTGGCTTCACAAACTCTTGTCAAGAAAAAAGTTTCAAAGTTTTCTTCAACATCCCATGTGTTGTGGTTGTGATCAATTGAATGCGAACTCATAAATTACTAAATTCAGTTACAGAACACTTTTATTATATATTTATTTAGTGGAGCTGCTATGATTTCTAGTCGCACTCATTCATATTTGGTACAATACAGTGGATGACTGGCATTCAAAAGTCAAGTTTAATTCATGTATTGTAATATTTACGTACGGTACATGTACATTCATATTTTTTCAATATTGCATTTTATTATATATTAATAAAACATTTTGTATAAAATATTAACTTAAATGAATATATATATATATATATATATATATATATATATATATATATATATATATATATATATATATATATATATATATATATATATATATATATATATATATGTATATATACACATACATTTATGAATACGAATCACATAAACTAAATAGTCCTTGTTCCAATAAGATTTATACAGTTGTTGTTGTTTTTTGCTCATTTAAAATTCTTCATTCGTAAAATGAAAAATATGTAAGGATTATTCAATTTGATGGAATTTTATTATTAATTGGAAAGCGTAAATCTTGAAAAAAAATATACTTTTTTGAGTGTGTCGTTGAGTGTTTTTGACGTGATGTCCTCTATATTGTGTTGATCTGTGTCGACGGCTGTACATCAGCTCTGTCCATATACATTACTGTACTCCATAACCGCTGACGAGTTTCTTATAAACAATCATATTACAGCGAGTAAATGAGCTGTCAGAGTATGATCTGACGAGCAGGAGGCAAACATCACACAATCTGACAGAGAGAATCAAGATCACAGAATCAACAAACTCATTACAGCTGACAACATATGCAAATCAATAGGCCTATAGCTGAAATATAGATGTTTCATAAAACCTATGAATAACCTTTAGGATATCATTAACCCTATATACAGCCTGCTGTATCATATTCTGACTCAATCATCATTGTATTGCATTGCATTGTAGCCTATGATTTAAAACTACAGAGATTTGATCATAAAACTAATCATTTAAATATCAGCTTACTAAGACATTATTGGCAGATATTCTTATATGCATTTTATGTAAGTATCTGCTGTACTGTTATAAAGATCTTGTTGATTTACATCAATATATAGTATTATTTCAAAATATTTAATAATCTTGCAGCTTAATGTGATATTTTAAGAGAACAACATTGACAGCGGCCACATGAGGGCGACACACTCCACAGAATACTGACTGTACTCTAAACACACACACACACGTGAAGAAATGGGCGAGTTATAAAATAAATTCTACATTAAAAATGCTTCTGTAATTTGTTTCTCGTCATGTGTCTCAAACATCCTTCATAACTCAATTAGAGCATTTTTTTTTATAATGAACCCAATATATATATATAATATATTATGCAAAAACTGCATCAAAGCATCAAAAACGGTGAACTTGAGTGAATGGTGGCGACCTTGAGGCTCTGATCATTTGTAATAAGCATAACCATGGATGTTAATTATCTAATGTCTTTTGGAAGTTGCATTCAGTCAAAGTCCATTTGGCTGAAAAATCTGCCTGGTCATGATGTCTTTAACTGAGTGGAGAAGAGCAGGACTGAAGGACAGTAAATGATGACAGAATAATCAATGGCTGAACAAACTCTTTAACAAACAGACTCAAATCTGCACAGAATGAGAGCGGCACTGATTCCAGGTCTGATCAGGCCGGTGTTCCCGAAACTATAGTTCTGTCGTTATCATATTCAACGAGTCGGTGTTTCCCGAAGCTATAGTTCTGACGAGCATCCGCAAACAACATCGCAGAGGTGTGTGTGTGCGACAGATCTCGACCTGTGGTTAGAAGAAGAGTTTCATAAAAGTGCATCTGTCCTTTATAAAAGTGCATCTGTCCATCATAAAAGTGCATCTATCCATGATAAAAGTGCATCTATCCATCATAAAAGTGCATCTATCCATGATAAAAGTGCATCTATCCATCATAAAAGTGCATCTATCCATCATAAAAGTGCATCTGTCCATCTTAAAAGTGCATCTATCCATTATAAAAGTGCATCTATCCATCATAAAAGTGCATCTGTCCATCTTAAAAGTGCATCTATCCATCATAAAAGTGCATCTATCCATCATAAAAGTGCATCTATCCATCATAAAAGTGCATCTATCCATCATAAAAGTGCATCTATCCTTGATAAAAGTGCATCTGTCCATCATAAAAGTGCATCTGTCCATCATAAAAGTGCATCTATCCATCATAAAAGTGCATCTGTCCATCTTAAAAGTGCATCTATCCATCATAAAAGTGCATCTATCCATCATAAAAGTGCATCTATCCATCATAAAAGTGCATCTATCCATCATAAAAGTGCTTCTATCCTTGATAAAAGTGCATCTGTCCATCATAAAAGTGCATCTGTCCATCATAAAAGTGCATCTATCCATGATAAAAGTGCATCTGTCCATCATAAAAGTGCATCTGTCCATGATAAAAGTGCATCTGTCCATCATAAAAGTGCATCTGTCCATCATAAAAGTGCATCTATCCATCATAAAAGTGCATCTGTCCATGATAAAAGTGCATCTGTCCATCATAAAAGTGCATCTATCCATCATAAAAGTGCATCTGTCCATCATAAAAGTGCATCTATCCATCATAAAAGTGTCAGGGTTCTGTTCTGTCAACTATTTCTGTCAAAATAGTTCCGTTGTGTTGATGGAAGGTGGACTATTTTCAGGCGCTGCGTCATATAATTACGCCTGCTGCTCTCATGGTACGGCAGTGACGTTTCTTGATTATTACGCAGGAATGAGAGTATAGTTCCTAGCCATACCAGCCTAGAAAATCGCAACTTTACATTTTCCGTCGGTCTTAGTGCACGATGTAACTACAGAAGAGTCAAGTTTTAAATAGGAAAAATATCGAAACTCTTTGGTCATTTTTTTTTTAGAAATGCTAATGGTCTTGTCCACTCCAATGATGTATGCTAAGCTATGCTAAAAGTGGTACCGCCAGAACCGGAGATCGGCTGAATGGATTCAAAAACGGTAAAACTCTACAGTTTAACTCTGGGGGAGTTGTAAAATGAGCCTATTTCCAAAAAAAGTGGAGTATCCCTTTAAAACTTTAGCCATAGTCCTAAACCTATGAGTTCATAGGCAAGGCTCATATAGGCATACTGTATATAATCAAAAAGAAAGCTATTGTGGAAAGGTGAAAGGCTGGGTAGTGAAAGTGCTTGTGAACTGGGGAGTTGTGTAATTGAAGAAATTAAAGATTTTTTATTAAGGAACAGGACTTGTTCAACAGTGTGTGAGCGCTAAGTCTATTTCTTTTTTTATTCACTACTTCCCCTGCCTTTGAGAATATTCTCTCACATGGGACTTAATTTGACTTGAAAATGCTGCCAGACTTCCGAACGGCCTCTTTTCACTACCGAAGCGCATGACACTCGAAACCTGTGCAAGGGGTTTGCGCTATTTTTGAATCAGAACATGAAGCAGTCACGCGGTTGTGTGTCGAAACTAAGCTTCGGACGTCACTGATCACATGGTTATGGCAAAACGAATCAAGCTCCGGTACAGTGGTTCATGTGAGATGTTTTGTTCTTTTGATACAAGCTTCGAAGCCTCGGTGCCGAACGTCACATCACTAGTTTTATTTACTTAATAAACATCCTTATTTCCGCATTTGTATCCTCGCTTCACTTTTGACCATTCTGTGACAGAACGAACCAGCCAACATAAGGATACAGCGGAATGAGGCTTCTCTACCTGGAGGAGAGTCAGGGTCTCATATGACCTTGTTTGAGTATTTTGCCATGTGTGCTCGAAGGACTGAGGAGACCATAGGAGACCATAGCAGCCAGCTGTCAAGTTGGAAGAGGAAGGTCCAATACTGCTACTAGCAGCTCCCCTGAATCCCCTTCCGTCAGCACAACGGATATCTGTTCAGCTAACACTCCTATCTACAAGCAGTCCTTTGAGGGAACCCGCCTAGCCATATTCCCAGGGACTCGTGGAGGCCGCAGGAGAGGAAGTGGTCGATATGGACCCCGATGCCATTCCCCACTTCAACCTCTCTCTAGCCCTGAACCAGCGCTGTCTAGTGGCTCCGAACCCGTGATGTCCAGCGGCTCTGAGTCGGGGGTCTTAAGTCCGGTGGTCCCGGAGGACCCGACTTCGGTGGTCCCAAGCCCGGTGGTCCCGGAGGACCCGACTTCGGTGGTCCCAAGCCCGTTGGTCCAAGAGGACCTGACTTCGGTGGTCCCAAACCCAGTGGTCCAGGAGAACCCGACTTCGGTGGTCCCAAGCCCGGTGGTCCAGGAGAACCCGACTTCGGTGGTCCCAAACCCGGTGGTCCAGGAGAACCCGACTTCGGTGGTCCCAAGCCCGGTGGTCCCGGAGGACCCGACTTCGGTGGTCCCAAGCCCGGTGGTCCCGGAGGACCCGACTTCGGTGGTCCCAGGCCCGGTGGTCCCGGAGGACCCGGTTTCGTTGGTCCCAAACCCGGTGGTCCAGGAGAACCCGACTTCGGTGGTCCCAAGCCCGGTGGTCCAGGAGAACCCGACTTCGGTGGTCCCAAGCCCGTTGGTCCAAGAGGACCTGACTTCGGTGGTCCCAAAGAACCCGACTTCGGTGGTCCCAAGCCCGGTGGTCCAGGAGAACCCGACTTCGGTGGTCCCAAACCCGGTGGTCCAGGAGAACCCGACTTCGGTGGTCCCAAGCCCGGTGGTCCCGGAGGACCCGACTTCGGTGGTCCCA